TTTTTACATTTATAAAAAAAAAAACAGATGAATCAACAGATTAATTGTGTCATCTCACTAGTGATGATGAAGCAATTTTTTAAATTCTAAACACGAAACCAAGGTATGTAGTCATGCCAGCAGCTCTGCAAACCCATTTTTTGCTGGAAGTAGTTGGGTTTTTTTCATTTTATTTTACTTGTCCACATTGAGTCCACTCGGGGGATGCATAGTTAGCTGGTGCACTTAATGTATTTTAACTGTGCAGACACGTTTGCAAAGCAAAGCTTGGAATGCCATTAGGTTTGCATGTCATAGACCACAGTTTGTGACCTTATTGTGGTGCTTGACAAAAAAGGGGTATAAATGAGATATTATAGTAAATCCCAGGGAATAATTAATGTCCATGCAAACTATTGCAATCAATCAGTTTGCTGTGACGGTTAAAAAATAGGCATCCCTTGACACATGCTGGTAAAACCTGAAGCATCACTTCAGCCACAGTGGCAAAATACTCTTGCTACTTGAATTTTATATTCTTTGTCATATTCTGGCTGATATTTCATTCTCTTTAGTGACCTGGAAAGAAAACGGGATTTTAACTTGTTATAACCTGCAGCACAAAGCCAAAACGCGGTGAGTAAAATGAGACGCAGGTCAGAAAATCATCCATTTGCAGTCTCTGTGGGTTTTTTTCACTTTACAAATACCAAACAATCGTATCCAGCGCTGACAGCTGTGACGGTCAAAACATTAATTTTTTAAAACTCAACATTTGAATCCAAAACTGAGTCCCAAATTCAAAAAGCAAATTATCTGCCAAGTGGTGATTTAATATCACCAGTGTCCAATGCAAATGAACAAGTTTCAAGACTACATGGCTCTTTTTTTTTATTTATAATAGTGACGACTATTGAGTTTTTCTGGCTTTTTTTTCCCTTTTACAATCATTTTACTCCACTGCAAAATATGCAACGGTGCACAAAAAATCAGCTTTTATTACTAAATGTGACATTAATTAGATTGTTTGGACATTTTTTAGACCGGCTATGATGAGAATATTGCTAAATTTAGACACTTCATTAGCTGCAAAGATAACTGGATTTTTCTAGAAATATAAACAGATACTCGACATTGTTAGCTAGATAAATCAGAAGCCAAAGTAAATGTCCTGAAACTGGAAGGTAACAGATTTAACCCCTTAAAAACATTGTCTTGTATTGAACGTCTGAACAAAGGCAGAAATGTTAAGTTTATGTTGATTCTTCCCATATAGAAGACCCTTAATACGACAAGGTAAAGTAAGATTCAAACAAAGGGATTAATACTTCGGCGAGACACAAATACAGCTTGCCATGCTGTAAAAATACCCCTAAAACAAGGCAGAGAGTTTAACCTGATTCCAGGCTTGGCACTGAACCGTCACAGAGGAGCTCTTGTCAGATAGTGCAGAGTAAAACTAAATCATGACGTGCCTCTTTAGGAGAACGTGCAGACAGGGAGAAAAACATGGCACATCATTCTAAGTTTTAACTTGCGTGTCTTCCTCTTGGCTTTGGTCAAGGACAGCAATTATTCAGTAATTGGAAAAAAGCATGTATCTGCATTATATCATTTTTTTTTTCCAGACTAACCAGACATATGACTATTATTCATTATCCAGGTAGAGAGCGACCATGTCAACTTTCTTTTTAAGCATTAGCAGAGGAGAGAGCAGTTACTTGTTTCTTCCACAGGAGAAATGATTAAAAATAGTCAACTAGCCTGAGCCAAACGACTGTGGATGGAAAGCAGTTTGTCTGTGTGGTAAACTGTTAAACTGGTACATCACCATCCAAAACAAACCATTTTTAAAAAGTGATTTAGCTCTATCCGACTTCTTCTCCAGGTTACGAGCCAAAGAGTCTGGCCTCTGCCCACAGACTGACCTGTCCTCCCCATCACTGACTCACAAACTTACTCTACCTCCACTGTCATAATAAAGCATTTGGACGGCATTGTCTGGTAGGTGGAAATAAACACTTCTACCATGTCTCCCACAGTTCTTACTCATACCGTCCCACCCAAACACTCGCCTCTGGTAAAGGTGAAACAGACACTCAAGGAGATCATGAAAAGTTTCCCAATTTGTAGTTGAGAGTTTTAATAAATGGAAGATTTTATTTTAATAAAGTACTTTAAAAGGGTAGGAAAGCATTACTCAAGCAGTCACTGGAACATTTTACCCATTGTTTAGCTTTCAGTGTGACAGCATATAAATTTATCAAGTGTGAGTTATTGTTCTGTATGTTTCAAGTAGTACTCTTGAAATTCTAAGATAAACTAAAAGCACATCACAGAGAGCAATGTTGTGATGTGTTCTTTCTCTCTTACAGCTTTATCTGCATCACAGCGGTGTCTTCACAGTAACCTGTTAAGTAGTTTGTGAAATATATTCCTGGAAAGTTAACGTAAGGTATGTAACAGCACCGATCAGGCCAAACATTTAAATAGCTGACAGGTAATGGTCCCGATGCAGTGTAAAGTCCTGCTCGGAAACCATTAGTCCAGACATTCACTAGCCTTAAAAACTCCCCGCATACCGATCTGATCAAGCATCTACTGGATGCACCAGAACAGGCCTGCAAACACTGGGACCCAAAGGAAACATCATCAGTTAACTTGTCAGAGTGACTTGAAATGAGTGATACCACTCTCTTGTCTCTGCGCCATGAAGCCTCAGCCAGCAGCTGACTCGTTACTGATGAAATCCTTTTGATAAGTTTTGTAATGTACTTTGTTTCCTTTTAAATTAATATTAATTACCGTTTCACAGAACCCTGAAACGCATAACTATATTTGGTAAAGAAATGTTCAAGAGGGCTGTGCAAAATAAAATCTTGACCCAACCCTTATTTTTTTATATATATATATATTTTTTTGCTAGGAAAATCAAAAATAGGTGCAAAGATTTACTGAAACGTGCAAACTGTTTCAATAAATCTGTACAAAAACAGACATTGAACGACTCTAACAAGCCTCATTTCCTTTTACGCAGTGTTCAGGAATAGTTCTTCAGGCTTTTTGAAGGACATTTCAAAACTCTTCTTTGAATGCTGGCTACCTTTTCTTACATTCTGTCAAGAAGTTGAGCTCTGGGCCCTGGAAAAGTCAAT